AGCCGGGGAGAGAGGGTCACCTATGAAGGTAAGGAGAATGGGGTTCATAGTACTTTTAGGGGGTGGGGGAGGGTGCTATGGGGGGTTGGGAGGGTGGGTTCGGGTACTATGGGGGAGGGGAAGGGTGGGTTCGGGTACCGTGGGGTAGGGGAGGGTGGCGCACGCCTAACGGGGGTCCATCCTCCGCCCCTCAGTCACAGCGCCCAAGAGAGCAGCCTCTGGCCGCCGCCAGCGCCGCACACCGTCGGGTCAATCTTCGGGGGCAGCGGGATCTGAATCTGGTACCTACGGGAAAAAAAGAAAAAAAAGGCGCGTCGCCGCGTGAAGCCAGCTCTCTCTCCGGCTGCGCGCATGACCGGTGCAGCCTCTGAGTCGGCGTCTAGCGCGCGCGAGAAGGGTTTTGCTCGCCTTCCCTGGGACCCCGTGTTGCGTGTCTGACTGTCACTGTGCTATTTCGGGGCCCGGGGGTGTGCGTTTATGTGAAGCCAGACACGAACCGCCCCTCCCAAACCGCGGCGGGCAAGTCTGAAGTCGCGGACTTGTTTCGGTCGACGCCGACGCGCATGCCCTCCTCGATGTCGGCGGGCGCGACGCGGTCGCCCAGTCCGACGACGAACTTTGCAATCTGCTTCACGTTGATCATGTACCTGGGCGGTGGGGAGATACGGGGAGATACGGGGAGATACGGGGAGATATGGGGAGATATGGGGAGATATGGGGAGATATGGGGAGAGAGATCTCGCGCCTTGCGCGGCCGTGGAGGAGAGTGGCAGCGAGGCAGATCCTGCTTCTTCCGGCCGCCACCTCTCCCCTACCCCATGGTACCCCGAACCCACCCTCCCCTACCCCATGGTACCCCGAACCCACCCTCCCCCTACCCCATGGTACCCGAACCCACCCTCCCCTACCCCACGGTACCCGAACCCACCCTCCCCCTACCCCATGGTACCCGAACCCACCCTCCCCTACCCCATGGTACCCGAACCTACGCTCCCCGTACACCGATGTAACCCGAACCCAC